GATAGATAGATAGATAGATAGATAGATAGATAGATAGATAGATAGATAGATAGATTTTTATTAATTCCAACATGGACTGTGCAGCCTTGCAGTTCTGTTTGTTTCCGGTCGGACCCATTTTGGGGACGGACTAGTGCGCGAGTTTAGTTTTCAAGATATGTTTTTGCATTCATTACGAGCCGTGCTTATCATTTGTCTGTAAGTTTAYTTTATGTGTTGAATGTTGTGATACTGACTGTAATATTACTGCAAACTTATACATATATTAATGTAACTTGAAGTAATATGTTTTAAAATACGTATGTAACTAAATTCACAAGATTTCAGTGCGACAGTTTTCAGTTTAACCAGCAGAGGGCAACGTTTTCAACTTATTTATTTTAACATTTAAAGTGTGAGCAGAAAAATATTACATGTATTGATATATTTTTGCTTTGTTTTTATTACAGTCTTACAGAAAGAAAAAAGAAAACTCAAAAGAACAGACATAAGATGTGAAAATTAAGCCAAATAAGAAGAAATAAAACGAAGGAGAAAACTGTCAAAGGAGAAGACAGCATCCTCATTCAAACTTCTTCAGAGCCTTTGTTTCTTTATTTTCGTGTGTCTAGCTGTACAAACAAAAGACCAGGACAGAATATTCTCTGTATTTTTTATGTGATTTTCTCAGATTTTTAATAAAGTTTGTCCACATGTTTGGAATACTCCAACCATATAACCCCAACTGATCAATGTATTTTAAGAATGTTCAATAAATGGCAAAAAATAAATAATATTTTAATGCAAACACATTTAAAAATCAAACCTAGTCGATCTCACGGTCCTCCAGCCTGACGGTGGCAGCAGAGCCTCGGCGCTGTGCTTTTATCATCCGCAGAAGAAGAGTTAAAGTTTGCGACCGGCGTTTACCTCATTGCGTCATCGCTGCATGACACACGCGAGGCAAGGAAAGCCTGCTGTGGGATCATAGCGAAGTTATTAACACTTGTTGTTGTTACTTTAGGAAGTCGCAGGTAACGTGAAGAAATGCCCAAGAAGGTGAAAGAAGAGGCGGAGTGGGTGGACGATGAAGCCGCCACGACTGGAGCAGGTGAGAAGCTAGCTAGGCTAATGTTAGCATCACAGCTAGCTGACGAGATGTGATAAACAACTACTTTTTCTTTTTTACGTACGGAAAAAAGGAGTGTATCCCGTAATTCTCGTAACATCTCTTGGTTTTGAGCGTTTTTCATGTGAATCTGATCGGTAATGATTTATTTTAGGTATTTATTTCGGTAAAAAGCTCGACTAATATTTACAGATTAATGTAGAAGATCAAACGGCTGTAAAATTAAAAACGTAGTCAGTCTAAAACATAACCCTCTGTATAGTTTCTAAACACGTTTACTGGGTTTTTGGTGAAGTATGTCACACAGACACGAGGACGTTTCACCAGCAAATTTAGCTGTGTCAGCATCATCCATGTTCAGGTGACTTCAGTTTAACTGAGAGGTATGTTAAAATAATAACTATGTATGTATGTATGTATGTACTGATACAGACTGACACAGACTGCTTTATTTGACACTTGGAACACAGAGCTATTTTCACTTTATAAGATGACCACATTTGACTTGTATGTATGTATGTAGGTAGGTAGGTAGGTAGGTAGGTAGGTAGACATACGTATACATACATACATTTACGTACATACATTTACATACGTATGTACGTTTACATACAAACATTTACATACATACATTTACGTATGTACGTTTACATACATACTGTATATTTACATACATACATTTACATACGTACGTACGTTTACATACATACATACATTTACATACATACATTTACATACGTTCGTACGTACATTTACATACATACATTTACATACATACATTTTAGTGCTGTCCCGACTAGTCAACGTCACCGGTTACGTCGACTGCATAAATACGTCGACACGCACAACATACCGTCGACACGTCGTTTTACGTGAATACGTCGAAAGAGGAGAAGGCAAAGAAAATGGTGACACTCGGCCCAAGCAGTACACGTGAAGAAGACCCCGATGACAGAGTTCAGCCAAGGAAACGTCCAAAGACGTCGAAAGTGTTGAAGTATTTTAAACCGAAAGAAAAGGGCTTGGTTGGTTGTTGACTCTGTAAAATGGAGTTAGCCTAGCATAGTAGCACTACCGCAATGAACGAACACCTGAAGCGCAAACACCCTGGTGTTCTGCTCGAAGATGAAGGCAGGAGGAAAAGTGCAGAATCGTAAGTCCTGTTAAATTGCTTTTTGGCATTAATGTAATATATTAAGAATAATAACGTTGGCAGCAACAGTCTCTGTGGTACTTTCTGATTGTTAGCGTCGACGTTGTCCTCGTCAGAGTAACTGAAACCTACACACTTCAGGCAGAAATGTTTGTACATGCAGTGGGCAGTATTGCTTTCACAAACAAAACAAAACAAAAAAAACATTAAGGTGTTTCTTTTCCTCCACTTTCTCCTTGTTTACAGAGGAGTTTGCCATTAAAATCTTGACMACACCGTGATCTTACTCGATCAACAAAAAATAATCGTTAATGAATCAAAAAAAAATAGTCGTTAGACTAATCGAGTAATCGTAAAAATAATCGTTAGATTAATTGAGAGAAAAATAATCGTTTAGGACAGCACTAATACATTTACGTACGTACGTTTACATACATACGTACGTACGTTTACATACATACATTTACATACGTACGTACGTACATACATTTACATACGTACGTACGTTTACATACATACGTACGTACATTTACATACGTACTTACGTTTACATACATACAAACAAACAAACAAGTCAAATGAGGTCATCCTGTAAAGTGAAAAGTACAATAGCTCTGTGTCAAATAAAGCAGTCTGTGTCAGAGCCAGGAACACATCCAGTTTAAATAATCAAATATCCTGACAGAACCATGCCAGAAACTTCTTTAAGGCTGTAAATTATAATAGGTGTAAAAGTTTTATCTTTATAAAAATAATTTCAGTTGAAAAAACTTTCAAAAAATGCCAGGATCTTAATTCTTAGATAAAGAAATGAGAGAATTACAGTCTTGTAAAATTCAAAATTATGAGGGATAATTCCTTCCGTGTAAAGTTTCTGCTGGTTCCAGAGTCAGGTTGTGGGGGCAGCAGCCTGAGCAGAGAGCCTCAGACATCTCATTTCACCTCATGGTGTTCCCAGACCAGCTGGGATATTCTCTGAATTAAAGAGTAACTTACCCCAAAATTAACTTTTTTTAGCTGATAAACTGTCTAGAATGTGTCTAAAATGTTATATAGTACTGTGTCTGTGCTAATTTTGATGTTTTTGTGCGTATTTGTTCAAATCTGTAATATTTGGTCTAAAAACGTCTTTTTGCTGCTCATATGGGTAGAGCAGTGGTACTGCAGGCTAATTTGCATATTGGTTAATGGATCTTCATGATTACATGTCTTC